CGGGGGGCCGGGGGGAAGCGGGACCCCCTTTCTAAGCGTTGTCGTCTCTCCGCGCCAGGTCCTGCATCCTCAGCGAGGTGTCCACGCGCTCCCGCTCTAAGCTACCTTCGGGGAAGAACGTCCTCCTGCTGGGTGAGAAATGCGGCGCCCTCATCCCGTCCCCTCCCCTGCCGCGCACCGGCTTGCTCCGTAACCCTTCTCTGGGCGCCTGGAGCTTCTCTTGTTTAGTGCGCGAAGCGGGGGTGGTGGTGGCAAGGTGGTGGCTTAACCCTCTCGCTTCTTCCCTTGCATGTTTTTGCTCCATTTTGGATATCCAATAGCCAGAGATGCTTTGGATATCCCCCTCATCGTAGGTACCTCGCCATAATATTACCCTTACTGTCCTGCCCCCACCCAAGTGCCTTAGGTAGAGCTACCTTGGAAGGGCGGCTTTTATTGTCTTTCTCCCCCGATGAGTGTTGACTTCGGGGTGCGTGCGGGTCCTTCAACCTTCTCTGAAACCTCCCTCGTTCGTGCAACCGGTGCGGCTTGCTGGGCCTATGGTGTGCCATACAGGCACAAAAACTGCTTCCGTGGCCCGAGCAGTATCAATGACGGCTGCTCCCTGTTGGCTGGAGGGCGGGGAGGCTGTATGGGCGTGCTGGTTGTGTCCTGCCCACACGCACCCAGCTCGTCAGCAGCAATATCATCAGCAACTTTTGCGGCAGCAGCGGCATCGTTTACTGCTGCTGGCTTTCATTGTGCTCTGTTATCTCCACCCAGTGTGATAGTCCAGCCTTGCGTTTGGCAAGGATTAGGAGTTACAGAATGGGACTTTGACAGGCCGATAATGAGAGGCCCACCTATTACTTAGTGTTGAGGGAAAGAAGAAGAATGGTACCTCAAGCAAAATTAAAAAACTTAACGGGGGAGGGGACACAAATGGATGCTTTCAAATGCGTGTTTATATATTATTGCTGTTATTATTACTGGTTTGGTTGTGGGTTTGTTTTTTTTCCTGAAAGACTATTAAATACTATCACCAGTAGACAATTTAATGAATCCAAGTGTATGGATCTGTTAACTAGCTACTGCTTCCCTCCTTTGGCAACCTCCCTCTCCCCAGAAAGAACTGTGTGTTAGTATTTGGAAACATGGTTAAAATCCACTAAAGATACTCATGTGGACTCTGCACACTATGATTCTGTGTAGTCTTGTGGTTTGTACTCTCAATTCAAGATAGGTTTTTTTTCCCCTCTGTGATCCTAAAGCAATCACTGTGACCCTTTTTTTCCTGTTTTGATAAGCCGAGTGGTGACTTAAAACTGACTGTGAAGGAGAAAACTGTGCAAGGATGATGGGATGGTCTAGTGAACCTGTTACAAGACTTACTACCCTTTAATTTGTGGCTTTTTATGTTACGTAATTAAGTAGGATATTGAGATTGGAAGTTCTATTGATATTAAAGAAAGGAAAGATTTCATAATGATTGACAGCTTTTTATGTGATATTTTGTAACTAAATTGGATGATTGTCCTTGTTGAAGTTGGAAGATCCTTCTTCAAGCTGTGATCCCTGTCAAGAAGATTACATTCTTGTTTTTCCTTTTTCTTCATAGTCAGGCAATCCTTACTGCTCAGTAACTGAAGACTGCTTCTTTCAGAACTAGAGGGGGCATCATAGAATGTTTCCAAATGCTCATTTAGTTTGTGATGTTTAATCTGTTGTATAGAAATTTTCTTTTTACCCATTTATGTAGAGCTTATAGAATGACCTAATATAACACTTTTTTGTTTCTTTTTGACTGATGCATTTTTTAAAAAGATGTGCAGATTTGTAGAAGAAATTCTAGTTCTTTCTTAGCAATTGTGTTTTCTAGAAGGCCACAGTCCAAGGAAAAAGAAAGTTTGGCATGTATTTAGGAAAAAGAGCATCAGATCTGAGGACTGGCCAATGAGGACTATGGCCATGTTCTTTGTGAGAATACTGAATCCATGTATTACACTTCACTGTTCACTTGCAAGTTATGATGCTGCTGCTGAAGCACACGGGCACAGGGAAAGGAGAGGTTTATGTATTCTCTGTTGGACTGTCTGGATTCAGTATGTGGAGTTCTGTCTGTTCAGGGACTTGAGCTCTGTGTTTGCAATTTCTCTGCTATCTCACACTTCCTCTATTTTTAAGCTTTGTTCCTTTAAATAGTTTTGTACTAGCTTTTGTTGTTCATACAGATCACATCTTGCCGTGACTATTTTTGGTCTCTGTCATTCTTTGAATACTTTTAAGCAGGAGTTGTAAAGCTGACCAGGGTCTTGATGGTTTTAGCTCATTTTGTGCTAGGCAAATATTTGCAGTATAAACAGTCATATTGGTCAAAACTGTCCAGCTGAAACATGATATATAGTGACAAATGAATGCTTATTTTCACTGCATTAAAAAAAAAAAAAAATCCCTGAAACCTTCAACTCACCCCCACTGCCTGAAAAAAAGAAAAAAAAAAAAAAAAGGAAAAAAAAAGGAAAAAAAAAAAGGCACAGAAAAATAACCAGGAAAACCCACCACTTAGTGTTCTTTTGTTTGCTAGGACAAGTTTTCTAATTTGCCTACAGCATTTATTTTTTTTCAGATGCTGCATATACTTGTATGCCTAGTTGTTCTGGGAACCTGGCTATGTCTGGCATGCTAATTCTGCTAGTTCAGTTTTTATTTTTAGTTATGTTAACATCTCATTTTTTAAGAACCTGGAAAGCAGTTCAAGACATCACAGAAATCACTAAAGGAGACTGGAATGCTAAATGCTAATCTCTAGATATGGCACACGGTTTTGTGAAGTGAAGGTTAACATACAATACTGGTAATTCTCTGCTCCGAATCAGCCAAAAAAATAATTTATAGTTTTACTTCTCCAAAATTGCTTCACATACAGTCATTTTTCAATAACTATTTTCTGTGAAGATTTTAAACTTTGATTGGCACCGTGTGTAGCATAAAAGCATTCTTCTGTTCTTGTATGAACAAATAATAAAAATGAAAGCATTCCTAAACTTTTCTGTAAGGCAAGTATGCTCTAATTCTTAGGCAGTTCTGTCATAGTGACCATAGCTACCTCATTTAGCAAACTATACCAGCAGAAAACGTAAGATGTCTCCCTACTTTCTTAAGGAAATGGGGTGCTCTCGGTGACATTTCTAGCTACTTTTTGCAGATAGCCAATGGAGTGTGGTTTTGTTGTTGCTGGTGGGTTTTTTCCTTTTTTTTTTTTTTTCTTTTTTCCTACTGGACTATCTCTTCTGCTCACTTATGTAATAAAAGTAGCTGATCGGAGGAGATGTTTTGTGTTGAGTGTGATGAGAAAACTGATGCTTGTAACTGGGACCTCTGTTGTTCCTTCCCTTCCTGATACAATTATATCTGAATGAGCAAGTGGAATAGAGGGAGCAGCTGAGAAGTCACCACTGGTGGGTGTGGATGGAATCTGTAGTGCTACAGAATGTGTGAAGGCTTGGATTCAGAGACCTGAACTAATCATTTATCCAATAAACTGCAGCACGCGTTCACGCAGTAATGTTCAAAGTCATTCCAGGACGCTCAAGAAAACAGGCTCCCAGCTTGCAAGTGAACTGAATAGTTGCTTTCTCTCTGGCTTTGTATTTCATGCATTCCTCTGTCTCTGAAGCATAGTAGATTCTTTGCCTGCAACTCTAATGATGTCATACCATCCAGTGACACATGTACACCTGACTCCAAGTGTCTGTATTGCACACTTAATGCTTCTACTGAATCACTTACCATTTTGATTTGCTTTATGCATTTTACCCCACTTGATGATAAAGGCTTTGAGTTCAGTGGACAGTGAGTGTTCAACTGCCTTGTGTCCACATTTTCTCTTTACCCCAGACATCTCACTTTTCAAGGCCAGGCCTGTTTATTTGAATCTTTGAACTCTGCTCCTGTACAGTGGCTGTCAGGATGCTTGAGAAGAAGTTTCCACAGTCTACAGCTAATTTACAGGTACACTTTTCTGTATGTACATGTATTGGGAATGGCTGTTATTGTAGAAAATGGTACATCTTGAAGAGCTTGCTACTTTCTGTTGGTGGACCCATGGAATACAGTGAACTTCAAAATTAAGTTCTGATACAGCAAATTGTCATCAGAGTATATGAAATCTGATTACTTAAATTTGTACTCAACACTATAAAAATTACTTTTCCACTTTATTTTTTCCTATTCAAATAGCTGAAAGTTTCAATATGATCATTTTGTCATTAGACAATGAAACACTGCTTGTCGATACTGTCCGTATTGTTCGTCTCAAATGTTTCTTAATTCTCTAGTACTGTGGAAGTTCAGTCAGATGGCTTCTTTTCCTCCTCTGCTTGCAGCTTCTTCACCTTCTACAGGTGATGAGAGCCTTCCAAATGTAGCCAAGTTTTGTTTCAATCAGCAGAGTTATATTTCTAAAGTGTCAGTTGTTTTGATGGGGCACTGATCTAGATATAATTCTAATTGCTTGTTTTGCAGCTACACTTTTTTAGAACTAAGTAGTACTTCTTTGTAGTGCCCTTCCTGCTATAATACCTTTCAAAAAAAACAGAATTACATGGATGCTGTGTAGTAAAACTTACTTAGAACAGCATGGGAAGTTCTTAAATTCCTGAATTGTATTTATTTTAATTTATCTCTGCTTTGTCAGAGGTGCTGCTGATTACTGGATCTATCTCTGAAATAGCTCCAAAGGTGAGGAACAGCAAAAGGCATTGTGCTTCTGTGTTCTCCAGGCAGGTCAGTGGCAGGAGTACCAATAAAGATATCACTTTCATAGTAACACAGGATTATTCTATTTTGGTAGTGAACCTGGGTAAAATACACTAGATGACTTAGTGCTGTGTTAAATGAGAAGGCTTGCATTAGAGATGTGTGCTGTCTGTATTCACTATAGAACTCTCTGTAATATTTGGCTTTCTCTGACTGTGGGTTTCCCCAAGCATAGGTAACGCTGTTACTGCTGTACCTGTTCCTACAGTCAGGCTGTGTATTCTTGCGGTGCAGGACTTCTCAAAAGGCATGGTGGAACAGTTGTCTACAATCTGCTTTCTATCATGTTGTAATGCAGAAGTGCAATTAAGGTGCTCCTCAGAAAAGTTACTGAG